TACCGTACGATAAGTATAAATTGCAGAGTCAAATTTATTGACTTAAAAGTGGTCCACTGAAGCTAACTGGCTGCATAGCGATCTTAACCTTTTCATCGTTTATCCACCCCAACTTAACAGTAAGGGTTCATGGTGCGTTGGGGGTAAGCTCTTTATAATCAGCATGCCAACCCACTAGACCACTTTCCGGCAAATCCTTGATTCTGATCACTATCGCATATGCCTACCGTAACCATAATCGTATCTATTATAGAAAATAGATGAAATTTTTGTAAAGCATTTTCGGTTAGAAAAAAACAGAGAATATTACATATCTTACAAATTTTTGATCTTCTTACAATTCAAAAAATCAACCTTCTGATTCTTTAAACGTTCAATTTCAATCCAATCACTCCTGATTTAGCGCGAATGAAATCATTAGATGAGCCAACTGTGCCATCAGAGGGAAGGATCTTTGTTCGAATGGTTTAATATATTGCCAAAACTTCTTTTTCTCAAATTTATGAGTTTGAGAGAAACGGCACGAACTTACTCGCTAACCCAATACCTTGCCATGCCATGTCATTGTAAGTGATGACAAATGGTGAGACGATAGCTGTTGGGTAATTCACGATCACAAAGTGATCAGTACTCAATGAATCCATTTTCTTTCGAAGTAATCTTTATTTTTCCGACTTCCTTAGGAAATTTTTCTTGGTCGCTGCTGTGGAGGACTGCAGCAATGCAAATTATCGGTCAGTCCATTTTGACTGAGATTTTTTTTTGCGTTACGCATCCACAATATGACCTCTACAGCTTTTTCGGTCACCAGCCACGCTCTTGACTCTTTTTTATGATGTTTACATTGCAATTTGACGCTTTTGACCAACGATTTGTTATCCTCTTTTTTTCTTCATATTCCTCATTTAGAATTCGTGTAGAAAGTTTATCCTACTCCTTTTGTAAATCTTTATTGGTAGACTACAATGCTTACGACTACCTGGGGTTGAAATAAACGATGAAATCTATCTTAAAAGAGCCGTGGACAAAAACAGGGCGTATGAGAATTGTCTCAACATTGTTCTTCAGGTGAACGATGCTGTAGGACGTGAATGGCCTTGGATCTACTTTGTAACGCTTGTAATCCTTGGATCTTTCTTCGTACTGAATCTCGTTTTGGGTGTGCTGTCGGGAGAGTTTTCCAAAGAACGAGAAAAAGCTCGAGCTCGTGGTCTTTTTCAAAAATTTCGCGAGAAGCAACAACTTGAGGAAGACCTTAAAGGTAATTTATTTTCTAGATTTTTTGAGATTGAGTATCCTCCCTATGTCCTCAGGATATCTGGATTGGATCACGCAAGCGGAAGATATCGATCCTGTCAATGACGAACAAGAGGA